AGAAAATAACTGCTGCCATGGAAACATCCCAGAAAGGAGATTTTTTATTATTATTTTTATTATTATTTTCCTTCTGTGTTTTTTTTTTGGGGGGGGGGACACACTTCTGTCTGTCTGTGATGCCTTGGCACACGTTCAGTTGTGAGTTCGATTTTTGTAAATGGGACCCTCTTCCTTGGTTGGCCAGAAGATGATTTTCCTCTTGTTTTCGATGCTGTTAGAGGAGAAAAGCCAGCTCAGCTGGCTTCCCCGTTCTCCTGCCGGAGACACAACCCAGCCATTTTAGCACACCGTCCTTTGAGAGTGTTTTACTATAGGTCCTAAAGCTGGTGTTAAACATCCTCTCTTTAACAAAAAATATGGAGTTAAAGTCTGAAAGCCTAGGGAGGAGTCCTCCCGCCCTCGATAGCGCAGTGCATTTATTGACGAGCTTTTTATGACCTGAACTTGGAGCTTTTAATAGCAACCCTCCCCCGAATCCATTTGCCAAGGCAGTCAAGCATCACCCGCTGAGAAACCTGAAAGGAAAAAACCAATCTAGGCACAAATCCACCCCCCCAAAAAAAATAAATGTGCGTTTGAGAGGTGATGTCGCTCCGGCAAAGGCGATATCTGTGAGAGTGGCACCCCTGGGGGACGCTGACCTGAACTTTGAATTTAAGGAGATTCGGGTCCTGGATTCTGAAGGTGGGAGGTGCCCAGCAGATAACGCTGGACCAGCTCTCCCTTCCCCAGCCCTCGCAAAGGGCAGCTTCTCCTGCGCTAATCAAGCTAACTCTCTGAATAATCGCTCTCTCTGCTGGAAAAAAAAGTAGTCTTAATTTCATTTATTTGCTGCAACGAATAGCAAAGTGCCTTTTTATTATTTTTTTCCCCCTTCCCCCTCGCCAAGGGTTTACATGTTTATGTAGAGGGCTCTGTGAGGGAGAACGAAGCGCTGCGCTGGCTTTGTCTCAGGGCAAACTCGGAGCAGGAGGGTGGGACCTTCTGATCAGCTGCTCTGAAGTAATCCTTTGTGAAACCAAACGGATCCAGGCTTGAGCAGTCAGAAACGTTTGGGGAAATCGGTCGCTCTGCCAGCTTTTTGCTTGCCCAGGCATACCTAGGGGGACAAAGCAGCAATCTCAAGTGATACTGCTTTAATTATTTAGTTAAGTCACATTATGTTAGGAACAGAAAAAAAAATAAACCACGATACCCAACTGAGCGGAAAAATCTGCAAGTGAGCTGAAATGAGCATGTTCACGCTCACTCTCTCCTTAGAGCAGTGGGTAAACAGTGGCTTGCATAGCTCTTCCAGGCTGTTGTGAATCACCAGCCTCTCAGCAGGATGCTTATAGCAAGCCAAAAAAAACCAAAACCAAACCCAAAACCCCCCAAAGGAACTGAAATAGATCAATTAATCAATGTGGTTTCTATCTTTATCATTATTTCTTTCTCATTATTGTACTTTATTTGCTAATGCAACTGGACCGGATGGGACTCCTGCTCTGCCTCATGGCCTCAGCACCTCCTCGGAAATGTTGTTGTGGTTTTTTTTTTCCCAGCAGCACCAAACCTTCTTAATTCCATTAGAGACACATTCTTCCTGCTCCTGCTCCAGAGTTTATTGCTGGCTGGCGTAAGCCAGGCAGGGCAACCAGCCACGGGCTTCTGCTGATCTATCCTAACTCAATTGAGCTCGCTTTGGCCAAGGGTCAGGTTCCTGCCCATCCTGGGCCCCGAGTCCATTTTAGGGACTGAAGGGATGAATGAAATCACCACTCAGAACCTACTCGAGCTCATTTCCGACGTGGGTTTTAAAGGCTTCAGTAAAAAAATCCTGTTGTGCCTTTAGGATAAATTATAGTTTGTCCCCCCCTGCATAGGGGATCATTGCCTGCAGGAAAACGGGTCACTCATTGAACCTCTTAACTCAAATTCACCTGTGACACAAACAGTATATATATTTTTTTTAATGGAGTAGCAAAAAAAGGGAGTAGTAACACTGATAGTAATGGCAGAAATAAACTCACAAGTCATTTTTTTTACGTGATGTTCTCCACTTCCTTACATTAATTTTATTGCAGTCTAGCACCGTTCCACGGTGTTACCCTGGCATGAAATGAGATGCCCTGTGGAACACTCTCACAAAGTAATTTCCTATGCAGTTTTAATATTAATATTTTGAGTGGCATTTAAATATATGGATATACTGATTTTTTTTTTTACCATTTGCAGCCTTCATTTTCATAACCAAAATGACATCTAGATTCCTCTAGGGGCATTTCATGAGCTATATGGGATCCATATTTTATACTTTGGTGCTCCCATTGGAAAATGGATGTTGCTAAAGTACATTGAGCACAGAGATAAGAAATTCTAGCATAGGAAACCAGTGTTTTACAGCAAACTGAAGGAAGATTCAGAAATATCTCAGCTTTCCCCCAGAGTTTCTGGCTTCTGTGTACAAATTACATTAGGTTTCCACAATTGATAAAAACCTTGTACTACTGATAATATTCTTCATGATGAGTTCCAGTTTAAAACAACATTCTCTATTTTGATCCTCAGTCACCTAAGTCTGTCTCCATATGCTAACTTCTTCTTTTTTTCTTCTTCATCTTCTTTCTTTCAAGGAAATATTTAAAATATGGCAGAAACTAAAACCTCCTGGCTTGGAGCAGCCTGCGCTCTCACCTTCTTCTTTGTCCTGATCTGCCGGGTCGATGCAGCTTCCTTCCAGCAGCATCAGCTGCTTCAGAAAGATCCAGACTATGTCCTGAAAACCTTACAAAGGCTCCCAAACCCCGATATGATCAAAGCTTTGGAATACATAGAAGATCTCCGCCAGCAAGCTAACAAGGGGGAGAGCAGCCCCGATTACAACTCGTACCCGAGCGTCCCGTACCTCCTGCAACAGAAAGAAAGCAAAGATCAGGTTCACCTGCCGGATAACCTGAGGGATTCGTTGACTGAAGATGAGTCCCAGTGGGTTAAGGTGATGCTGGAAGCCTTGCGGCAAGCTGAGAAGGAGTCGAAAGGTGGCCCAAAGGAGACTAAACCTTACGCTCTGAGCGCAGATAACAGCTTTCCAGCCGGAGTAGGCGATGACTATGAGGCTTACAAGTGGCCCGAGAGGTGGCAGAAATATCTCAAAATGCCTCTTGGGCGCTACGAAGAGAGTTCAAGAGACAATCCTTTCAAGCGCACGAATGAAATAGTGGAAGAGCAATACACGCCCCAAAGCCTTGCGACCTTGGAGTCTGTGTTCCAGGAGCTGGGGAAGATGGCAGGAACTAGCAATCACAAGAAGGAAAGGCTGGAAGAGGACCAGAAACTCTATGCCGATGATGAGGATGATGTGTACAAAGTGAATAACATCGCCTACGAAGATGTGGTTGGAGGGGAAGACTGGAATCCCGTTGAGGAAAAAGTGGAAAGTCAAACCCAGGAAGAGATAAAAGACAGCAAAGAGGAAGTTGATAGGCACGAGGAGGAGATTGATGACGAAATGAAGAGGTCGGGGAAATTTGGCTTCCTCGAGGATGAAGGAAGAAGAGACCACAAAGATCAAATGTCAGAGGATGTTTCAAAGCTCATGAATTATTACCTGAAGAGGCTGATGGGCGGTGCTGGGAACAGGAAACTAAGGACTGGAGGAGAACTTGAGGAAAAGAGAGCACCCACATTTTTGGATAAGCAACTCGATCCGCAGTCTGTAGCTCAGCTGATAGAGATCTCAAGGAATTTACAAATCCCTCCTGAGGATTTAATTGACATGTTGAAAGCTGGAGAAAAAAAGCAGCTTCCGAGCGAAAGGTTGGAGGCTGAGCAAGAAGTAGAATTCCCAGAAGACCTTGACGAGCTCGCTGAAACCAGCCTAGGACAGAGTGATATATTTAAAACTAACCTAAACTCTAAAAATGGGTACATGAAGCCATCTCTTAATGCCGTTCCAGAAAACCTGCCCGAAGACCTCAATATTGAAGACATCGTGAGTCTGCTGGGAAGTGACAGTTTAGCGAGCCAGAACCCCTCCTACTTACTAAATCGTCTCAATCAAGACAACGATTTGCCGAGACTGTCTTACATCCCCAGAAGGTTGAAAGGGCGCCCGTTTCCTAAAGCCGCCTGGATGAGCGACCTGGAAAGGCGACAGCTGGAGACAGAGAAGCTCAATGAGCAGGACGAAGAGTTGGCCGACTACTTGGCCAAGGTGTTGGCCAAATACCCTGACGTCATCAACACGAACCAGCTGAAACGAGTGCCCGTCCCAGCTTCTGGAAGTGACCTGCAGGAGGACGACCGGCTGGAGCAGGCGCTCAGGGAGCATCTCCGCCAGCTGGGACCACAGGAGGCCGCTGAGTTGGCTTCGCTCAGCAAAAGGCTCTCCGTGGCTGGCGGCGACACCGACGACACGCAAAGCAGGCAGTACCTGGACGAGGATATGCTCGCCAAGGTGCTGGAGTATCTAAAACAGGAGAAGTCAGAGCTCGAAAGGGATCACATTGCCAAACGGGCGATGGAAAACATGTAATCGCTCCCTAAATATTATTTCTCTTCAATGTGTTGACTTCTCTCCCGGTTCAGTTGTGATTTCTTCCCGCTCTCCCACTACACGACCTCTGGTAGGCTACTTACCAGTGAACAGTCTGCATATCTTTCTCAGAGCTGTTATATTGTTTATTGATATCCTTCTATATGTTATAAATGATGGGGCGAACCACAAATTGCTTCAGGTGTTTTAAGAAACAATTGAATGAAATCGAGTAAAACTATGACATGTAAACAAACGACCTTTGCATTGTCAATAAAACATGATAAACTACGCGTGACAATTATCGGTTGAAATTTTTAAGATTAACTGGATTATTTTGTTACTGTCTGTAGTGGTTTTTTGTGGAGTACCGAATAAAAAAAAAGTAAAGCATTATATATATATAGTTTTATTTACAAGGCTTTTTCTATTCAGTGTTTTATTGTTGATGAATAAATTATTTCTGGACAATAGAGTGTGTTTCTTTGTGGCAGTTGATAAAGTCATACTAATTTGAAATGGAAATGTACATTTTTTTCCTTTGACAATTCTTCTAGCATTTTATTTTACTGTAGAATAAGTTGGTAGCACATCCTTCTGCTTTCCCAGGCTGTAAGGACATCGACCAGAAACAGCTCTCCGAGCACTGTGGACCCAAAGAAGTTACTGAAGTAAAACAGGCTGGTAACTGCATTTTATTAACTTTTTTTTCCAAACTTTGGCTCGATAATTAATGATCCTGTAGCTCTTGTCAAGCTCCAGGGAAAGGAAAGCAGAGACTTTCACCCCGGTGGGTAATATCATATTTTTGTCTAATAAAAATATGATTTCCCCTTTCATCAAATGTCCATTCCATGTGTTCGTACACGGAACCTTTGTGATTCACTGCATTAGCTGTTGAAAAGCCTCCTGAGCCCGTGCTAAGGCTGCAGCGGATGTTCTGGAGAAGCTCCAGCTCTTTGGCAGAAGGAAACGTGCTGGCTTAACTCTGGGAGACAGACATGGGCTTCAATAAAGCAGCCTGGGCTTAAGTCTTCCCAGGGTTATAGTTTAAAAGTGGCTTTTCTGGCGGTATTCCTTAGCAACTCATCTCCGCTAAGTGAGTGGGGATGTTTGGGTTTTGTTGAGGTTTTTTTTTGTTCTGTTGGTTTTGTTTGGTTTTTTGGTGAGGCAAAGGCTGCAGAAATAAGACTTCATCTTCCACATCCCCATCGCCCTGAGCTGTGCCAAAGGACAGGAGCTTCTGGCCACAGCTAAAGCCTCCCATTGTCTCTTACTGAGATGACTTGAAACATGAAATTGAAAAAAAACCAAAAATCCCCAGCGTTAAGTTCACTTCCGTAGTCTAAAGAAACACAAACGTGCTGCCATTCAGGATGCACTTGCTCATGACACTGGAAACTTGAAATCATAGTGTTTTATTCAAAAGTAAGGTTTTATAGCCTTGATTCCTAACCGCTCCGGCAGTCCCCCTTGTCCAGAAAATTTTGCTTCGATCACAACATTTAACACTTTAACACATAAAACTGGGGAAGAGTAATAAAAAAAATAAGAATACAAAGACTTAAATGAATGTTTGTTCATTTCAGTGAATGAGTTTAACAATTTTATGTTTGCTTCTAGGGATTGGGAGGGGAGATGTGTGTGTCTGTGTCTGTGTCTGTGTCTGTGTCTGTGTGTCTGTCTGCGAGAGCATCCCCTGGCCCCCGGGATGCGGGGCTGAGCACCCGGTTGCCATGGCAGCCAGAGGCAGCCAACCCACCTCCCAGCAGTGCCGAGGAAGCAAAGATGAGAAATGCTTCGAAGCACCAACTTGTAGCTCAGGCTGCTGTCGATATGCTCTTCAAGTGGAAAACAAATCCATCAGGCAGTCGGGTTTATGAGTTAAAGGTGTGTTTCGGGGGGGGGGTTTTGTGTTTTCTTTTTGTGAGTGTAAAAGATTGACTTTGTCAAAGCCGTTATGCTTACAGCAGGTGTGTTAACATAGCAGGCTGTTGTTATTCCCTCTGTAGCTGATCTCATGCTTATCAGAAGAATGTTTCCAGTGAAGGGACAGAGGTTCACAGAGCCCTATTTCAGCCCTTACCAAGCAATAATACATCTAATTCTCGAGGTGTGTGGATGACCCAGAAGAGATGCCACACAGATGAGACACGGGCAGGCGTGACAGGTGGTAGTTTTAAGGTTTTGGGCAGGGTTTTTTTGTCTTTTTTTTAAATTATTATTAATTTTCACTCCCCTCCTCCCACTCCCTTCCCCTGGGCTCCCCATGCTCCCGAGCTGACCCTGGGCTCTGAGCTTGCAATAGCAGAACTGCTCTATGTAACAGAACTACGTGGAAACTTTAAGCTGATTGGGGCTAAAAGGTGACAGCAACAGCCTCTCCTCTTCTAGCCACAGAAAGCAGCAAGCTGAGCTCTCGGTGCAGGACTTCGTTTCTAATAAACCCATCTCCAGCTCTATTTTGAAATGAATAACTACAAAATAGGCAGCACCCTCTTCATAGACTTCTGTAGGGGGACAGTCGTGTGAATAACAATGCACAGTCCCCAACAGATATGCTATCAAGCTCATTAGCATAATTATATACAAAATAAAGTTGGCAACTTTTACTCAGGCAACATCAAGGAGCAGATTATTTTTTTTTTCTAATTTCTCTTTCATGCCACACTTTGACAGCAGCCCAGATGCAGCTGGCATGTACTCCCTGCTTGTCAGTGGCTCTCTGCTCACATCCTCCTCTTTAAACCTACAGTGAGTGTCCCCCTACTAAGGGTCCTCCCCGATAAGCAGAAATTCTGCCTTTGGCCTGACTATACTGAGCTGTTGAACCCTCCTCAAGACCTGCGGGAGTGCTGTGTGCATACACCAGCATTCCTTGTGCTGGTGCCCATAGGAGTTAATACCTCTTTTGGTTTTGGTGTATTTTTTTTTTTTAGCTTTGCATCATGATGGCTCCCTTATTTTGTTGGCCGAGGCTCTTAAATGAGAACGTCTGTTGGTTTGAAAATTAGTGCAACCACATTACCTCCATTGGAGAAGCCGGGTTGCTGCAATGATTTTGTTCTAAAAGGGTGTTGCCACATTGCAGCGCGAGGGCTTTGAGTCGCGTGCGATGTGAGCGTCATGAGTGTTTCTCAAAGCGCTTCACGAGACACCGTGTTTCGCAGGCACAGCCTGCTATGATTTTTTTTCAGACCGACGTTCCATTATTTCAGGACAAACGTAACATCGGGGAGAACTTCTGTGGACAAGAGTCACGCGTGGCAGGAACGGAGGTCCTGGAGTTCCCCCCTCCCTGTCAGCTCCCGCCACGATGCACAGCACCGATCGGTAGCTGTTGACTACGTGAAGCATAAATCTGCACCGACACAGCTGGATGCCAGCTGTGCTTTGCGTTTGTTCAGCTCCCCAAGAGCCTTCGGAAGGTTCCTCCGAGCTGCGAGGAGCTCCAGATCGCAGCGGCGGCAGCAGGCAGGTGCGGAGCCTCCAGAGCGTCGAGCGGCAAGGAGAAGCCCTGAATCAGAGCTGATTAGCTGAAGAGCCGCGTTATTCCTGACTTTTGGACCATTTGAAGACATTTGAGATCGTTAATAATTCATTTGCAGATGTTGCAGAGCTCTAAATGTGGCTGATTAAATGCATTTGACGTTTCTCTGGAGAGAGGCTGTTGTTCCAGGAAAACCACTCAGTAGCTGCAGACGTCTTGGAATTGGCGTACTCAAAATTACGGGTTCGCTTACAATGTTTTCCACTTGTAAAAAAAAAAAAAAAAAAAACCACTAAAAAAAATGAAAGCGACCTCTGATTCCAAATGTAATGTACGCAGATGAATAACTATACTACAATTATTTTAAATTCACCACAGCCTCTCAGCATATCTACTAAGAGAAAAGACCGTAGCCAATGAGGCCATCACGTCCCGTGCTTGGGGGAAAATGGTGTTTTTTGGCAAATCCCTGTTTTTATTCTTACCCTAAACTCACGCCAACACGCCACAGGGGAGTCACGTGCTCCCACCTGTTGAGATCTCCAGCAAAACACGTGGATGTTTCTTTATTGCCTATTAAAACTCTTCCCCAAACCAAACTTCTTTTAAGTGGATCTTTATTTTTCCTAGCTCAAACTTTGGATTCCATTTAGCTCCACGCTGTAATTCTGCTCATGCAAAAGGAGATGTCCCCTCGCCACTCCTCTTCCTCCTCTTCGACCCAAGGAAAGTGTCGGGCTGCTCGGATGAGATGGAACATGCGATTTCTGCAAGGAACACATTTTCTACCCTGGGTTTGTGTTTTGCCACCTGCTAATAAATGTCATCACAGAGCAGCGAACCACTTAGACACTGCCAGTACTTGTACTCCCGCATGAAGTATGTCAGAGCCAGGCCAGGAACACCATGTGCAGACACAGAAAAGATAAAAATAAAGATAAGTCATTAAAGGGGATCAACCCAACATGTCTTGTTTCTCATTCACATGGCGTAATGGGAGACGTGTTAAATCCCTGTGAGTAAGTTTTGGGACGCAAGCATCACCCGGCAGGAAAATTGTTTTCCACAAGGTTAAATTTACTCAGATCCAACACAAACCCAATTGATTTTTCTTCTTACAAACATGAGTGCTACAAAGTAAGAACTCTGCGTTAGCGACCAGCGCACTGCGGGAGACCGAGACAAAAAATAAACCTGGAAATTTTATTCTGTGCACATGTCTGAAGCTACCGCCAGATTCCTTTGGTTCATTTAGAGAGCAGAAGCGCTGCTGCTCTACAAACTCCTGAGTCCTTAATCTCGCC